CGTACACCCATGGTCTGAGTGGTATCCCATGTGGGATTCGAACCAGGCACCTGCTGAGCCACGTCATTAGCGTTACCACTTGAGCAAACTTGAAGAAGGGCCATAGAGCACACTTGGGGCTAAAAGTAGTTCTTGATGGGGAAACATACACGCAATTTAAATTTGTAATCCAGATTTATATACGCTCCCCATTTGTGGTTTCGCGCTTCATCAGGTGAGCGCGCGCCAGTTCCACGGTTATTTGAAAGCATAAAACGTCCATTTTGCGTCTGTTTGTTTATGCTGGCTCTTGGAGCAATAACTTCTTCCCACAAATGGACTTCTAAAAGCGTCTGTGCGAGAGTCTTGTATATACCGTTTATATTGAACTTCCTGTTGTGATGGAGTTATTTTTCCGTTCCACTGATGGGCAACTCGGAAATCTTGTTAACGTTTGGGTTCCAGAAAACTGGCGTCACAACAGAAGATCTTTTTGTGTTTCCTGAAATCCGAATATAAATCAGTGTCAACACTAAAACGCTCGGTTAGGTCTGATTCTTCTGATCCTATTCGAACTTTCTTGATTTAGTTAGGCTTTTATACACTAAAAATAATAGGCGACCTCAAAGATGTTTGAGTAAGCCAATTTTATCTCCCGACCTTCACATGAAACCGAAGTAATATACATATTTTTTGATGAACAGTCTGTAAATAATATTGGTAATACGAATAATTCGCCGGTAGCCGAGCGGCCTAAGGCATCTACTCTCTTCGCTCGCTTGGAAACCGGGATCGTGGGTTCGAATCGCACTCAGAGGCCTTGCGACGAGCTGATCACCCGCCCAAGGAGTCCTACCGAATGTGTAAGATCTAGGAAAACCGAAGTGAACGGAGAAGTTCATGGAGGTAAGGCCTAGGCCCACTGGGGCTGTAGTGCCAAGGGGGAAAAAATGCGAATAATTCAATTTATTGCTTTATTAGTTATGTGCCGAGGTAACAGCCGCAAGGCCAGTTACAGACAGCACAGGGTAGATATAAGTAATTACATTATGGACAAACACTACATAAAGTTTAAGACAAATTACAGGCAAGCACTGGAGGAAAACACAATAATGCAGACAAGTAAACAAATAATAATAATAATAATAATTTCTTTAACCTAAATCAGTAATGCAGACAAGTAAACAAACAAACAAATGATGATGATGATGATGATAATAATTCAGTTCATTATTATTTATGTTCCGAGCCAACAGCTGCAAAGTGATTTACAGACAGCACAGTGTAGATAAAAGAGTTACATACTGGACGAACACAACATAAAGTCAAAGACTAATTAGAGGTAAACATTGGAGAAAAATATATTAATGCATATAAGGAGACATAATAATAATAATAATAATAATAATAATAAT